TAGTACATATACAATATATTTTGAATAGACATATCATTACATCATTACATGTACATAAAGACACTATTGCAAAATGAAAAGAATCAGAATTATATAAAGACACTTATTGGGATATTTTAACTACTTTTTAAACCAACTGATTTTTAAAACGAAAAAATAAAATTCTGAAAACTAGTAGAGTTCAACTTTTTTTATGAAGACACAACTTTTTAATAATAAACCGATACAAATCTTAAACTAATACATTTCATTTTTATTGAAATACTAGAGATTTTTCCGGGCTACGCCCGAATTATTTTCTTTGCAATTTAATCTAGGTAAAAATAGTATTACACTTTAATATTTTATATGTATTGGAATGTTTCACAAATATAAAATATCTAAAAAAAATTATCCATAGCAGAATGTCTAACATAAATGATAGTAAAAACACATATTACGTTATTTTACTTTTTTCTACTGTAGTTGTGCTGGGATGAGGACAAACAACCGAGTGATGGTGGGTAGATGCTATTCTTTTGAGTTCTCCTGCATTTGGTTTTGCAAGATTTTAAGTCCCTCTTGATCCTATACTTTTAATTGATCTCTTATTTGTCCTCTAAAGTGTTTGATGTATTTGATTGATTTGTTTAAGTTGAATTATGTTGCCGGTGGTCTACAGAGTTGTAGTTAACTAAATTTATAAGATTTAAGTATTTAAATTGTAGTTAATATTTTAATCTAAAAATTAGTTGTAGTTTACATATTAACTTATGTTTTCTTTCCGATGTTTATAATTAAATTATTTATTTATTTGAAACCTTTAGAGATTTTAATATTTATCCATGACTTAGTGAGCTTGATCCTAAACTTGAAGTTATATTTTGTTCAGGTTATGTGTTTTTTTTACGTTCGCCACTTATTATCTGTTATTTTATAATATGATTATGTTTTAAAATCTAGGAAATCACTACCACAACTAAAATAATAGTATTATGTATGTTAAATACCATTTATATGTATCTGTTTATTTATTATCAATTATCGTATTAATACAATCGATTTAAAAAATGTCTGAAAACACACAATAAATCCAAGTACTTGCCAGAATTTGAATAATAAACGGGATGATAGTTTGAAAGATTCTTTGCTTTTTAATTTTCCTTATGTGGGTTTCCATGGTATAAACTCCATCTCACTTCATGATTTTTCTTGATGTCTTACTCGTCCTTTGAAATGCTTGATGCATCTGATAAATTTGTTGAAGTAAAATTTTGTTTCTGGTGATGAATTGAGTTGTAGTTTGCGTGCAAAATATTGTAAATTATTTTCTTTTTAGAAACTAAATAATATTCTTAAATTTTAATGTGTTAAAAAAATTTTTACCTTTTAAAATTTTAGGACTTATGCTTGTGAAGATGACAATTTTAAATTTCCTATCCTTCTTACTCTGGACGATGCTAAAATCTGCTGCTTGTTTATTGCACATCGTGAGCTTAACCATTATTGACCTGAGATAGAGTTATATGTTTGAGGATTAGGATTGATTTCGTTATTTCTATTGTGTTAGAATTACCTGTTCAGCAGTAGGTCAACAGTGAACTCTGCATTTAATTCTGGAAGGAATGGATTCTTCTTTGCATAATAAGTATTTGTCCGACGACATGCATCGGCGCAATGTTTTTTTTTTTTTTTAAACAGCAGATGATTGTTTAATTGCAATTTTTTGTTATAATTACCTGGTAGGTAGTCTGGTGCAGTGGCCAAGCGTAGTAAGCTTTTGTAATTCTAAAGAGAGAAGTTGTTAGCAGGAAAGATTGGACCTATGTCCGTCACTTTCGATATTGTTGTCTCTTTGTCGATCTGAATGTAGTACGGAAGTTGGGTGAGTTTTCGTTGGCGTGAATTGCGTAGGATGGAGAATCCTCAAAAATTCATATATATCTCATTCGTTTTAATATGCCGGTTTATTTGTCTGAATGCTCCTGGTGAGTCAACCTTCCAGAGGCTGGCCCTAAATATGAACTATTTCTTTTTGGTCGAACCAATGTAGTGAAGATTGTTTAATATAAACAAAATATGCCGAATTGGATAAATACATACATATATATATATATATGTAAAAATTTAGTTATGGACTTACATGGTGGTCGTAGCATATGAAACTGGTACAGTTTTGGTTTCCGTTGGTCTAGTGATTTTTGATGTCCCATATATTTCTTATACATACCGTTATAGGTCGTACTGAAATCCCTTAATGAAGTTGGTTGATTCTTTGAAGAATGTGATGCACGGAGAATGGCACTATAAAACATGAGATAAGTTGTAAATTGAAATAAGGTTCATGAATTTCGGATGTTAAGATTTAACTTCATCGATCTAATCATCGTAACTCTGAGTTATTTAGCACACAATGATTAATAATATTTAGTGTATACATATTTTCTAAATAATGTTTTATATGTAAAACTTAGTTTGTTTATATATGGACGATTTGGTGGTAATCAATCAAAAACCTCTTTATCTTAAAGCTTCATGACTCTATATCAATTTTAGAAGATCGTTTGTTACGAAATCTAGGGTTTCTGTAAAACCAAATTATCCTCTTTTAGATAACAAAAGGGCTTTGCTTTTAAAGGTAATTTAAACAAAAAATGTACAAAGTATTTGCTTTCACCTGTGGTACAATCATCGACAGAAACAAAGTAAAAGCTTCAGTTTTACTCTATTTTTTTAGAGGAAAACCGATTTTTTTTTACACATGCATTGCATTAAAAGTTTCTCACCGGTTATGAAACATCTCTGAAGCATATTTTTTTATCTTCTTCCACTATAAAGATATCTCTCGTTGAAGAAGCTCCTAGTCAACCCATTACATTCTTGTGCATGTTCCATCAGACTGAACTCAGGATCAAATTCACGTTTTGGAGCTTAGAAGAGTTAATAAAATGATACGTACGGATATTGAATCAGTCGGGTGATTGGGCCATTGCACAAAGAGGTTATTGGGCCAGAAGTCTATAAGCGTAGGTAGTATATAAGTAGAGGTGAGAATCAGAGAGAGGGTTATCAAGAGTTTTATTAATTTCATGTCATGGAGGAGAGGAGAAACTCCTAAGAAAAACTCATTGTACTTTTCTATTTTGATCAATAAAATCGTTTGTTTCCCCTGTTCTGATCTTCTCACAAGTTTGATATAGTAAAACATATCATAAAAATAATCAAACAAAGTATACTTTGAGCAACCAGACTCTATCTCTTTTGTCAAGTTTGCTTATCTTTTCCAGAGAACATGACAAAACTTCATGGCCAAGAACATGAGTCCTTTAGCTTTAACATTCAAGAACTTGAGCCTTATCTGTTGATTTTGGCCAGCTGCAACCACTGGACCATCCCAACACACCCAAGATTAGATCCACCTTTGTGCAAACACTAACCTGGGAATTACAATACATATAGACACTGGTTAGGTTTACTGATCCAGAAGGGAAGTTTTAGAACATTGGGACATGTATATATTACCAAACTTTTAATATTTGCTTCTATTTGAAACAACATTACTGCTAATCCTCTGTCAATCTCAGCCAGCAAAAAAAAAAAGCATGACGTTTCTCAGATGAGTCGTTTCGTTTAGAAACTGTAATACTTTAGAAGTAAGGTTATACAGTTAAAGCACGCACCACACAAGAACATACTACGATCCCTTCAGCTGCCAGCACTGTTGTAACCTCTGCGATTATGCCTGCGAAAATATGACAAACATTTTTTATTTGACTCTCTCAAATGAGAAAAAAAAGAGAACTGGTTTTGGATTCATGAGCATAAAGAAAATAAAGAACATTACCTTTACGATCCATGGATACAACACATATCATAAACACTTCTTTGCAGAGACTTTGATTATTTTCTGGAAACTTTTCCTGGCTTCCTTTTTCCTTTGGCTACTGCTCAAATCCAAACCTTATTCAACAAACAGAGGGTAAAAGTCTCGTCTCCCAAAAGAGAGTGCAGCTGACACTGGACTTACCCCATAAACCAGATTACCAACCATCCTAGGCACACTTGACTTGGTTGCCTTTTGCCACGTTTTCTTTCCCTATATATCGTGTATCAGTGAGGCATTTTGATGAACTTTAACCGCAATGTATGCTTCATCTTGTGTCACCCAAGGTCCTTTTTCATTATCAGTGTAATCCCACTCTAAGACATAAATTGTAAACAATTCTATCAGTAAGGAAATGAAATAACTTTAAATTGTTACATATCTATTGAGTCACTGTAATTGAATACAGAATCTGGGTCATAATGCAGCAGACCATTGGTCTGGTTGTAATAATAGCGAGAAGCACTGTCAAGAATCAAATCTGTCACAACAATATCAACACTACGTCAAATTATCTATAACTTTGAATGAAAAGGCTAAAAATTGTGAGTCAAAAAGGTGAAAGAACCTGAGCGAGATACAAAAGAGGCAACAGTTTGGCTCCCTGGTGAAGATACTCTATAGAGTTATAGGCATCAAAACATAGAAATCAAAAGTCTTTTGCCAACTTTGTAATACGACAATGGAAGAGTCAAATATTACTTGGTTCAGCTATGTCAAACAACAAAACATGCTGAGGGGAGACATAACTAAAACAGGAGCAATCTTAAGATAATGGTGGAGAAATACTTACCAGCCTCCAACCCTCCGGTGCGTCATTTGCTTTGGCTACTTGTTGAGAAATACTTACCAGCCTCCAACCACTTCAAAGCACATATACATGGCATGCATGTATCCAGAATGCACATATACAGGCTTGAATGATCAAACCGTATGTGAACCATAACCAAGCCACGTAGCAACATCACAAGCTTCCATTTTCCAAACACAAATCATTTGATGAATAACAATACAATTCAAGAGTCACAGATACAGAGCTGAGCTATATTAGGGTCTTATCATCCATACAAAATGGATCACCCCAACATTTATTCAATTGCAGAAATGTAGAAAACACAGAGAGAAACCATTACTCAACTCAATAAACTTCAACATGCCATTGCTTGTTCTTCCTAAGCTGAGAAAGCTTCTGCTCCCAGCTCTCACCTCTCTCTTCCACAACTCTCTTAAGCGTATCTTGAATCCCTGGCATCATTTCTTTAAGCCCACAAAAGTAAATATGAGCTCCATTATCCAAAAGCTTAAAGATCTCATCACTGTACTCTTCAATCTTGTCCTGCACATACATCTTCCCTCCGTTCTTGTTCTTCTCTTCTCAGCTCAACGCTTTATCATACCTGAACTGCTCTGGATATTCCTTGAGGTAGCTTGAGAACTCTTCATCGTACAGAAGACTGTCTGAGTTAGCGACACCGAGGAAGAGCCACGAGAGTCCATCAAACTTGGATGTAGGAACGTTCTCCATGAACATACGACGCAGGTACCCTCTAAATGGAGCTACTCCGGTTCCAGTAGCGATCATGATATGAGTAGCTTTTGGATCATCTTAGGTAAAAGCATTACCTTCCCAGAGGGACCTGTTAAGTGTCAACAACATCAAAACGTTAATGATTAAGTTTCAACTTTAAAGATGTTCAATAAGATTAACTTACCAGTGATTTGGACCTTATCTCCAGGCTTAGCATTGCACAAGAAGTTGCTGCAAAGATTGACTCTCACCATAGATTCTAAGGAAGGATGAAATAGGAATTTAAAATACATACGAAGCTACTCTCATTCATACACATGCATTGCATAGAATCCAAAAAAGTATGTAGTGGGGATTTAAAATACATACTACTCTCACTCTGTCACTCCTGCACATGCATCTCATACAAACTTCTTTGTTTTGACTCAATTTTGGGTTTAGGGGATTACTTTTGTAGTTCGTCAATCTTGTTTCTGATCTTTTCTTGCTCACTTCTGTGATTATAGCCTGTCCACTTTGAGATATACCTTGAGGTTCTCGTGCACCGTCTCAACTGCAGATCCACCTGGAGCTGCATGTTAATCCA